TTTACACTCCTGTCATTTGCCGTGAGTCAAATAAAACAGACCTTTATTGTTAAGAACACAGAGTCATCATCCTTTTTGCATTTTTGCACTCAATTATTTTTATTATGTGATGTATTAATGCCATGAATGCTATTAAAATTATGTGTCTGTCTTTTTTTTTCAACAGATTAACATGAAAACTATGCCTGCCATCATGTTCAGGTTGTTAACTGGTCAAGAGACTCCGGTGTACATATAAGGAATCATAAAACTGGGACTTTTTCCTGCAATTAAAAAAAAGGTTTACAGCTCCTCCTAAAACAAAAACAAAAAAACTCTCTGTCTTGCATCATATGGGTGTAGACTGCATGTAAAGATCGTTAGAAAGAGTGCAAACATTCACACAAAGAAAACCTAATCACATAATCTGATCAAAGGAGTGATGTTATTTGCTTATTAATGCAATTATACAGATAGACTTCCATGCCAGACTTATTAGTTTGTATATATGTTAAATGCCTTTGGTTCAAGCCTTTTTTGAGTTCTTAAGCTAGCAAAGTACTCTTAAATTAAAAATACCAAGTGACTGTACTAAAGTTCACTAAATCAATAAAGTAGGTTGTCATCAATAGATTTAATTTTTAACAATACTCATTTCACAAACTCAAAGATTAACAAATGGACTAAAGCATGCTAAAAATCCAAAGATAGCTGTTTACATTTGCTGAACATGCTGCATTTGAGTTCTTCTGGCTGTCTTCAGTGTCTCTGTGATAAATGGGTCCTGTACACTGTGAATGGACCATTTCTGTAGATTACTACTTCAGCATGCCGGACTTGAAGACGGAAAATATACTAATTAGACAACCTGAGCTGCATTCATGTTTATGCATGATAAAAAAAAAGTGTTATTTTAGTATCATTGAGATTTTTGAATTCGATTTTGTGTATTTTCTGTTTTGATTTTAGTTTTTTTTTAATGTCTGTATAGTTTATAGAATTTATACAGGTGTAGTTATTTTAGAACTTCAATTTAAATTTTCATATAACTTCAATTTAAGTCTTTTTCATATATATTTGATTTCAATTCATATTTATTTAAGTAATGAACAGGTTTTTTATGGTTATGTTAGCTAATGATGTGTGTGTGCATATGAATGACTTATAAATTAATTATTTTAGAATTAAAAATCAAATTTCCTATGAACTTCCAAATTCAGATGGCTCACACATTGAAAAATAAATCGATGCAGACTACATGTTAAATGTAACAAATTATGCTCATATGGTTATGAATTCACTCTTGGTATTGCCAAATGTTATCTCATTTGACTAAAAAGAACTGTAACACAAATAATGAAAATAGACAGATTGTAGAATTTGTATTTTATTTTTTTGCATCATGTACATATATACATATGAATATGCAGTTTGTATAGAACAGCTGGATCAGTAACAATTCTAGATATACAGCTGCTCCCAGCAATTCAGTCTGTAAGTTTTCAAGTAGTAGTTGTGGATGGCAGCACACAGCCCCTCAAAGTCTCTGTTAAAATTGGGGGGGGACACAAAAACAAATATAAATCTAATTTAATCAAGCAGCAAGGACAGGGAATTTTAAAACAATGACACAATTTTGGTGTAATTAGTTATATGCTTGTTGTATGGAAAAGAGCAGCATGAATATTCTTCAGAACATCTTCTTTTGTGTTCCACGGAAGAAAGAAACTCATTCAGGTTTGGAACATCATGATTGTGAGTAAATGATGACCAAATCTTTTTTCTTTTCAGATAATGTTAATGCAAATGCCTTTATTTGTGCTTTGAAACGTACTGTTAATGTAGTGATCTGCTGAGACAAGGAGACATTCTCTGTCTGTGTGTTGTCGTCATAGATCACTCCCTCTAGAAAGCCTGAGTTGAGGTAGCCTTCACCAGTATGGGATTCGTCGTCCTCATTGTCCACGCCTACACTGAATACCTCCCTCATCCTCGCAGGAAACAGACAGTCCAGTAGCACCACCATCAAACCAATCACAGCGCACAGCAAACCTGAAAATAATCGGCAAACACACAAAAAAAGATTCTTCATTGGCATTGATGGTTCCATGAAGATCATCCATAGAACCTTTTCATCACACAAAAGGTTCTTTATAGTGGAAAAATGTTCTTCAGATTATTTAAATGTACTTCACACTTCAAGGTTCTTTGGGGAATTCAAAAATGGACCTATGACTGTGAAAACCACCTTCTGGAACTTTTATTTTGTTTTAAAGTGGAATATTCTAACTCTTAAAATAAAGGTTTGAACGGATGCCATAGAAAAAACAAAGAACCCTCCCGTGAACAGTTCTTAAAAGAACAACTTTTCTTAAGAGTGAAGAACATTTTAATAATCTAAAGAACCTTTTTTCCACTATAAAGAACCTGTGGAATGAAAGCTTCCATGGATGTTAAAGGTTCTTCATGGAACCTCAGATGCCAATAAATAACCTTTATTTTTAAAAGTATATATTGCACAAAAAGGTTACTCAGACTAAAAATAAAACTGGTTCTGTTCACCCAAAATGGTTCACCAAAAGTATTGTCACCACATATTACATCTATATCATTTGATATTGTATTTTATATGATTTCCAAGTCAAAAACTTTTGAAAGTGGTACGCTTTCCCATAAGGAGCATTTACCTGTAGCCAAAGCGATCCAGAAGGAATGGCTATAGTCTGTCCTTAAGGACTCTGCACCTATACTGAAGTCACATGGGATCACACTGAATATAGTTGAGAAGGAAGCCATGGAGAAGAAAATGAAAGCAGCCGTGGCTATCATCATGTAACCGGCGTAGAGGATGACAGGCATTGAGAAGAGGATATTGGCCACCAGCCAGCAGCAAAAAGCCGTCCTGTGGGAGAAGGCCATTCTGTACTTTAGCTTGTTTGCATTTGTTGAATAGGACAGGGTTTCTTTACACTACAGTAAGACATTGGTGTGTTGGTTTACCACAGATTGGCTGTGGCGAAGCGGCCCGAGTATCTGTACTGGTAGATGAGGCCGCAGGCGCTGTTGCGAGTGAACTTCTCTGCGATGTAAAGGATGGGGTTGGGAAGACCTCGCTCCAGTGCATCACCGTACTGCTCGTCCACACTGCTCGACCACCTGAAGATCTCGTTGTAGTCAATGGTCTCATTTATCTGCGATACTGGGTCGCCTGTTGGAACGGATATGGAAAGTTCCCTCTCTGGAGTTATAGAGTTGGTTAAATCGTTGTTTCTCTTGTGAGAGTGTTCGGTTGAATGTGTTTGTGACAGAGGAAGTGTGCTTTGCCTTTATATGCTCCACATAGACTATAAGATCGTCGGGAATTTCCCCTTTCCAAGAAGCGCGCAATCCCTTCCAACAAAGGAGCAGAAGTTTGTAAGTTTCGACATAACCGGTCAGCAGGGTTTTATAGTTGCATGTGTTCCTTTGAAGTGTAAACAAAACTTGCATACTTTCCTTTGTTACAATTATTTTAATTTTCTCCAAAGAAAAGGAGGTTGTGCACAAGCTCAGATGCACTCGCGATGACATAATGCTCATTTTGTTCTCGGATCTAATTATTTATTCAAAAATGCATTTTAATACATAGAATAATTTAGATACAACCATTTAATGATTATGATTCTGCATTCATTAAATTAAGAGTCAGTTTGAAATGTTTTGACTGTCCTAAAGTATCAGATATTATAAAAGGAAAGTATAGCCTACAGATGTCGTAAAAGGATAAAAAGTCTTTTTAAAAGTAAAAATTATTTTAAAAATATATTGCCATTGGCATTATATTTTATTATTAACTCTTTTAAAAAAAAGCAGAGAAGCTTTAGTTTTTTTTTATGATAAAAAGTTATTAAAAGGCGTTTGTTTGTGCAAGTAGCAACAAGAAAACCATAAAATATATTTTTTATAACTAATAGAATATATAGTTATATACAGTGGGTACGGAAAGTATTCAGACCCCCTTAAATTTTTCACTCTTTGTGATATTGCAGCCATTTGCTAAAATCATTTAAGTTAATTTTTTTTCCTCATTAATGTACACACAGCACCCCATATTGACAGAAAAACACAGAATTGTTGACATTTTTGCAGATTTATTAAAAAAGAAAAACTGAAATATCACATGGTCCTAAGTATTCAGACCCTTTGCTCAGTATTTAGTAGAAGCACCCTTTTGATCGAATACAGCCATGAGTCTTTTTGGGAAAGAGGCAACAAGTTTTTCACACCTGGATTTAGGGATCCTCTGCCATTCCTCCTTGCAGAGCCTCTCCAGTTCTGTCAGGTTGGATAGTAAACGTTGGTGGACAGCCATTTTTAGGTCTCTCCAGAGATGCTCAATTGGGTTTAAGTCAGGGCTCTGGCTGGGCCATTCAAGAACAGTCACAGAGTTGTTGTGAAGCCACTCCTTCATTATTTTAGCTGTGTGCTTAGGGTCATTGTCTTGTTGGAAGATAAACCTTCGGCCCAGTCTGAGGTCCTGAGCACTCGAGAAGGTTTTCGTCCAGGATATCCCTGTACTTGGCCACATTCATCTTTCCCTCGATTGCAACCAGTCGTCCTGTCCCTGCAGCTGAAAAACACCCCCACAGCATGATGCCGCCACCACCATGCTTCACTGTTGGGACTGTATTGGACAGGTGATGAGCAGTGCCTGGTTTTCTCCACACATACCGCTTAGAATTAAGGCCAAAAAGTTCTATCTTGGCCTCATCCGACCAGAGAATCTTATTTCTCACCATCTCACAACTCCATGCGGGCTTTCATGTGTCTTGCACGGAGGAGAGGCTTCCGTCGGGCCACTCTGCCATAAAGCCCCGACTGGTGGAGGGCTGCAGTGATGGTTGACTTTCTACAACTTTCTCCCATCTCCCGACTGCATCTCTGGAGCTCAGCCACACTGATCTTTGGGTTCTTCTTTACCTCTCTCACCAAGGCTCTTCGCCCCCGATAGCTCAGTTTGGCCGGACAGCCAGCTCTAGGAAGGGTTCTGGTCATCCCAAACGTCTTCCATTTAAGGAATGGAGGCCACTGTGCTCTTGGGAACCTTAAGTGCAGCAGAAATTTTTTTTGTAACCTTGGCCAGATCTGTGCCTTGCCACAATTCTGTCTCTGAGCTCTTCAGGCAGTTCCTTTGACCTCATGATTCTCATTTGCTCTGACATGCACTGTGAGCAGTAAGGTCTTATATAGACAGGTGTGTGGCTTTCCAAATCAAGTCCAATCAGTATAATCAAACACAGATGGACTCAAATGAAGGTGTAGAACCATCTCAAGGATGATCAGAAGAAATAGACAGTACCCGAGTTAAATATATGAGTGTCACAGCAAAGGGTCTGAATACTTAGGACCATGTGATATTTCAGTTTTTCTTTAATAAATCTGCAAAAATGTCAACAATTCTGTGTTTTTCTGTCAATATGGGGTGCTGTGTGTACATTAATGAGGAAAAAAATTAACTAAAATGATTTTAGCAAATGGCTGCAATATAACAAAGAGTGAAAAATTTAAGGGGGTCTGAATACTTTCCGT